ATTGCTTTGTGTCATTGGAATTAGCTCTCTCTCAACCACTCAAAAGACGACCCGAGCAACTTACTTTGCATCACTCGAAGCCGATCTGCTCCGCGTCGCGTTGACTCACTATGTGTCGATGGAAATGAACTGCTCTACGTCACTCGAACTTGACCCATTCTAGTTTCCCTGAACCCAGTGTTGCTTGAGTTCGCCTGAACACAAACCGCTCGAGCCTACCTGGAGTGAACTGCTTGGTGCCACCTGAAGCCGATCGAATAACTTAGCGCCGCTTGAGCCAAACCGCTTTGAGTTGCTAGAACTGAACCACTCCAGCCGCTACTCGTACAGCTTGAGCCGTTCGAGATTTGAACCATTTGGCACCGCCCTGCCTGGAGCCAAAGTGCTCTGTACCCTGACCCAAGCCGCTCAGCCCCTACTTGTACCACTCGAAAAAAGGATTTGCGCTAAGCCACTTGAAGAACCGATCTGTGAGGAGCCGGTTCGCTGATACGGCTAGCCACGTGAAGGATTACACAAGGGAGTATAGTGAGAAATAATATGTATTTCCATGCTTTTATAAAAAATTCGTAAATTGTCTATGTAATTATCATTGTTTATGTGTTATAATTATGTTATGAATGTGATGAATGCCTATCTGCGAATAAGCTGAAATGTGTTCTAAATGGAAGGTTCCAAAGTGATGTGAATTTTGATGCTCTGTTAACTTGAGGTACGCAGGGACGGCGGTAAGAGGGGATAGTGGTAAATAAGGCTAGTTGGTGCCCATGATTCCTGCTTGTGATCCCTGCCTACAATACCTGGGCATATATCTTGTTTGTTAGGTGTTCATGAATAATTTTGTATGCGTTTATGATGTATATGTGATCTTACGAAGGTGTGCTTGTATGCAATTGATATGTTGCTTGAACATTTAATGTTCGACTATTGATGTTGATTCACAGGTTGAATTGGGTTGTTCGCTGCTAACAATAGAGTGTTTTTTGCATGTTTCTTAAATTTGGATTTGCTTATTATGACTCATTGAGCGCTAGTTGACTCTTTTATTTTTCCTTCTCCAGGCTCAGTTTCGTCTGTTGCTAGAAAAGCTCTTGATTGGTGAGCCCCGTGTTTGCTTATGTGTTTGGGCGTAGTTATTTTGTTGCTGTTGTATTGCTTTCACTGTAATAGTTTAAGAGTTGGTGAATTAGTAGAGTTGCTCCATTTGTCTACAAGCAAGATCTCCTTTCCTTGCGTTCTTAGTTAGCATGCTCATTGTATTAGTATTACTTTCGTTATAATTGATCGTTAGTTTTTGTAAGTAAAATATGTTGTTAATTAGTAGTTAAAAATAGCATGATATGTTGAAAATTATTAGATCTTATTTTTATCAGCTTTTAAATTGCCTAGGGTTGTTGTTAGGATTTATAGATTGTGTTTTTTACAAGTTGAAAATGTAACATCCCAACCCAAAACCCTTATCATGTACTCTATGTTTTACTTTGCATAAGCATGATTAGTGGAGTGATTAATGGCTTAAACTTAGTTTTAGAAGCCCTTAATCGTTGAGGGCAAGAAAGGTATTTTTGCAATTACAAAATAATAATAATAAAAAAAATAATAATCATATAATAATGATGATGATAAAATAATAAAATAACAAAACAATAATAAAAAAATAAAAAAATATATTTTTCGTCCACCGCCTAAGTGAAACCACCTTAAAGGGGTTATATGACTCCCCGAGCTTCTTGCTTGGGCCGTGCAAAGGAAGCACGAAGAAGGGGTAAGAGAGGCGAGGGGGAGAAGATCTGGAGGAATTACACGAGGAATTAATTATTCAATTTATAATTGATATGTCTTTCTGTCTAAATTTCCTCCTAATTCTAATTCCACCATGCTTGCATTCCTTCCTCTAGTGGGCTACCTTTTTTGAATAAAAAAATAAGTTCTATGCAGAGAACTAGAGGAAACGGGAAAGAAGAGAACCAGAACACTATTTAGCCAATTAAGACTTACCCAAAGGAGGTGTTTTGTGAATGTTTTAGCTTAGCTTAAATTCAATTTTTGTCTTCACTATTCTAGCAAACTTGGCATTTGGAGTAGGAGGTTTTGGGTTGCTATTTTGAAAGGAATAGAAGGGAGATTTAAGGGAGAAATGGGGGCTAAGTTAATTATGGTAATTAGAGAATGATATTGGTTGAGAAATTTAATTAGTTGGAAACCCAAAAATTCACCTGCCTGCTTGCGGATTATTTTTCATAAAAAAATAATTATAACTCCTTTTGTGAAGTGAGTATACTCTAGTATACCTAACTTGATGATGAGTGTATATTAATATTTTGAGAATTTTCAGAACATGACTTTTGACCCGAAGTAAAAAGCGGCGGAAAACAGTTGAATTATGAATACATTTCATATATGCACTAGCACAGTCATGCATGCATACGTAATCCTAACATGCCATTGATAATATATGTGGTTCCCTTCTAGGAGAGACATACTGGCCAGTCAGTGAAGCCAACAAGACTGAGTCTGGGCACACACAGTATTAGTAGAGGTGAGTGGTCTTTCTCTTAAATTCAGTATTTTTCTAAAACAATGAAACTAACATTTTTCTTACAAATAAATGTTTTATTTCAAAATCAAAGGTTTTATTTTCGAAACGTCTTTTTATTTATATGTTATGATTATTTTGCTATGTGAAATGAAAACATGGATTTCATTTTTATGCCGTATGTTATATATGTAAATGTTGTAATTTACTTGAATAATTCACTGGGTAGTCGCATTACTGTGGTAGTATCACATGATTTATTTGCCCAATGGGGCTTTCAGACACCAATAAGCCATGTGTGTTTGTCCATAGGAGTGGTGTCTTATGAAACGAGTCTCATGGCCAGTAGCACCTAGTGGATTCTCATTATGTTATGTTTATATCTACGTGCATGTCAGACCTCAGTTTAATTATGGAGTTATTATGTTTTTGCTTCCATCCTTAGCTTATTTATAACATTTTGTTATGGTTGGAGTTACAGGCTCAACGGGTGAATTAACTTTATTTTTGAATTATGATTAGTGAATTTTGTCTCACTATGCGTTATTCTATATTAGTTATGCTAGTTTTATGAACTGTTTTTATTTATAATATTATGTAACATATTCTTGTTTCACTGGTTTTAATTGGAGGATCATTCACTGGGACGCAAGTCTCGCCACTTATTTATTTTTCAGGTTTTAACAGTAGAGCTTGTAGGTGCATCACATCCATCCAGCACAACAGTATTTTGAGTCTAGAGAGGTTGGGCTCTACTCATTTTAATAGTAGCCAGTTTGGGTTGTTACTTGGAGAGTGAAAGTTAAATAGTTGTATTATGTGTAGATATTATTTTGGAGAAGAGAAGTTACATAAAGTAATTATGTTTTCAGTTATGATAATGACTTAATTTTCTAGTTATGTTATGTCAGATGATGTTATATTATTCAATTATTTGAATGTGAGTTATACAGCAGACTCAGCGTTATGATAGTCGAATAAGATTTGGCTTCTCCGGTGACTCTTGGACATTGGAGATTGTTAAACCCTATTCCACTGTCACACCTCTCTCGGGTTATGGGATGGGGTGTGACAGAAAATTTGCGATATGTCTTGTTTTTAGGGGAGGTGCTATCGAAATTTTTGAAAATTTCCACAGCATTATTTTAGTAGTGATTGTGGAGGCTAACTAGAGTGAGTAAGTCCACCCTAGTGTCGGTCATGTGTCCCCTGTCTTGGGTTGTGACAAAAAGTGGTATCAGAGCCCTAGGTTTCCTTGTGGTTAATGAAGAAAGTGTCCTTTAGTACGGTTGCGATTATGGTTATGAAGCGCACCATAGCTATAATCGAGGCACTGCAAAAAGCTTGTTAGGGTGTCGTCTTTACCATCTGTTGGTAAGTTGTTTTTGTTCTTCCTCTATTAGTCAACTCTGTGTCTAGTTGCTGATTTGTGTATTTGTATTATGTGCTAGTTATAATGGGTAGATTGTGAGCAAGAGAGCAGTGGTTTTTTTTTTTGGCATAACGAGTAAGTGAGGTATTAGAATTGAAATATGAAACATTACAAGGATTCTTTTTAAGAGAAAATGATGTGCGGGCACTCACAATCCTACTCATTAGAAATTATGTTGTCTAACATATGTTATTATGTTTGGGATGTCTGGACCGGAGTTTGAAGGTCTTAAATTCAAAATTTTTTTTTTTTGAAATGACCTTCAAGAAGGTTTTTAATTATTGAGTTGGACGCTTAAGTTGATAACTCGAGATTTAATATGAAGAGTCATATGTGATAATGAGAGCCAGAAAGAGCATGGTTTAATCTCTATATGTTTATCCTTCTAGAGATGTTTGATTTGCAAATGTTTTGTTGAACCAAATTGAACAAATAACGGAAAAGTGTGTAGGGCCACGTGACGAAATAGTTTGGAACTCATAGCATTTGCTAGTTGGGCTACGTTGAAGCAGGTGAGGATGTTGATTGTATTGTAAGAAATGATTGTTTATTTTATATGTTCCTAGATTAGTGTACAGGGATAGGAGAGGAAGACTTTGTAGTTATTCTAAGCGTTGGTAGGAAGCTCTCGTAGGGAGAGGAACTTAAGACTAGGCAACAAGGATATAAGAGTAGAATGATAGATCTACAAGTAGCTCAAATTATTAGAGATAAAGGCAAATAAGTTAATATTGGCACACAGACTATTGAATTAGTGATTGGAGTGGAAGTGAGGTAATGATGCTTTCTTTTAAAATTTGGGACGAATTTTGTTTTGGAGGGGAAGAATGCAACACCTGGTGAAAAAAAAAGGAATAAAAATGATGAAGCTTCGAGAGGATGCCAGTAACACCCACCCCCAGTTTTCTTTCCACCTTTCCCTTTCTTTTCCATCTTTTTCTTTCTCTCTAAAACTCTCTTTTTCTTTCTCTATTTGTATTTACTTCACATTGACATGGAAATGGCTACCAGTCTCTTGATTTTCTGGCTAGTGGGTGTCCACTCGAGCATAGGTGGCAGTCAACACCTGACGAAAACTCACTGGCGAGCAAGTTCACCGTCCAGCGGGTGGACACCGCTCTTCAGCTGGTCCTCTGAGCCAGACTACATTTAACCAAATTATCAGAGCAAGTCGAGTCAGTCCACGAAGGAGGCAGAGCACCAGCCTCATGAATCGGATTCGGAACAAAATTGGTTAGATCTCGGTTCTCGCTAGGGTGTTTCACAGAGGAGAAGACAAAGTGGCTTCGATTGATGACGATGGAAGGTTCATCATTTCATGACGCCATGTACCACTCAGTGATCGCCTCCTGACTGGCGTTGAACTTCTCAAACTAGTCTAAGAGCAACTTGGCTCTAGCTCGCCCGAAGCTAGCCTGAAACCAGTGTCACTCGAACACAGCACGTTCGCCCAAAAAACCATCTATGTGAGTCGCTTGAAATTGATTTGCTGTGTGTCACGACCCTGACTGCCCAAGCCGAACAGCTCGAGCTGCCGTACATTGCCTAGACCTAGAAGCCAACACGTTGTGTGTCGTCGGAAATGGACTACTTTGTGTCGCCGGAATTGGCTTTCTCAAGCCATTTGGAAGACAACCCGATCAACTCACTTTGCACTACTTGAAGCCGATTGGCTGCGCGTCGCATTGACCCGCTGTGTGCTTACGGAAATGAACTGCTTTGCGTCACTCGAACTTGACCTGTTCTAGTCCGCCTGAACCCAGTGTTGCTCGAGTTCGCCTGAAGATAGACTGCCCGAGCCTACCTGGAGCAGACTGCTTGGTGTCGCCTAAAGTCGACTGAACAACTTAGTGCCGCTTGAGCTGAATCGCTCTGTGTTGCTAGAGTTGAACTGCTCTAGCCGTTGCTCGTATAGTTTGAGCCACCTGAGATCCGAACCATTTCACACCGCCCCGTCTAGAGCCGAACTGCTCTGTTCCCCAACCCCAAGCTGCTTGGCCCTACTTGAACTGCTCAGAAAACAGATCTGCGCCGAGCCACCTAAAGAATCGATCTACGAGGAGCTGGTTTGCTGATACAGCTAGCCACGTGAAGGATTACGCAAGGGAGTACGGCGAGAAATAATATGTATTTCTATGCTTTTATAAAAAAATCATAAATTGTCTATGTGATTATCATTGTTTATGTGTTATAATTATGTTATGAATGTGATGAAAGCCTATTTGCAAATAAGCTGAAATGTGTTTTGAATGGAAGGTTAAAAAATAATGTGAATTTTGATGTTTTGTTAACTCGGGGTACGCAAGGACAGTGGTAAGCGAGGACTGCAGTAAATAGGGCCAGTGGGTGCCCATGATTCCCGCTCGCGATTCCCGCCTACAGTACCTAGGCATGTATTTTGTCTGTTAGGTGTTTATGAGTAATTTTGAATGCATTTATGACATATATGTGATCTTACGAATGTGTGCTTGTATGCGATTGATATGTTGCTTGAATGTTTAATGTTTGACTGTTGATGTTGATTCACAAGTTGAATTGGATTGTTTGCTGCTAACAATGGAGTGTTTTCTACATGTTTCTTAAATTTGGATTTGTATATTATGACTCACTAAGTACTAACTCACCCTTTTATTTTCTCCCCTCCAGGCTCAGTTTCGTCTACTGTTAGAGAAGCTCTTGATTGGTGAGTCCCATGTCTGCTTATGTGTTTGGGCGTAGTTGTTTTGTTACTGTTCTATTGCTTTCACTGTAATAGTTTAAGAGTTGGTGAATTAGTAGAGTTGCTCTATTTGTCCACAAGCAAGATCTCATTTCCTTGCATTATTGGTTAGCATGCTCATTTTATTAGTATTGTTTCTGTTATAATTGATCATTAGTTTTTGTAAGTTATACATGTTAATTGGTAGTCGAAAATAGCATCATATGTTGAAAATTGTCAGATCTTACTTTTATTAGCTTTTAAACTACTTGGTATAGTTATTAGGATTTATAAATTATGTTTTTTATAGGTTGAAAATTTGTGATATGTCTTATTTTTAGGAGAGGTATTGTCGAAATTTTCAAAAATTTTTACACTCAACATTATTTTGGTAATGATTCTGGAGGTTGACTAGGGTGAGTAAGTCTACTCTAATGTCGCTTATGTGCCCCCTGTTTTGGGTCGTGACAAGGAAATAGAAAGGGAATGGAAAGAATTAAAAGCGTGACCTTCTTCTCTACGCCAAAAATACTTTTCAACCTTCAACCATTAATTTATTATTTCATTGATTAAATCTAATAATGGAAAAACTATATTTATAAGTCATGTCAACAAGTTTCCAACATCATTTGCTGCACCCTGAATAAACCAAAAAGAAAAAGAAGTATATGTTATATGGAAAAGAAAACTGATGTACATCCTCAATTGTAATTAGCTGCAATTAGTAGTTTAAAAAGATTATGTTTAGTAAACACGACAATATGATCAATGACTAGTAGACTTGAGGGCTACTCGGGGTCCCATTCATCAGAATATTGACTTCTGCTACAAATATGAAGACTTTCGTATATGTATAAACAAATTTGGAACAAGTACCAACGAAAAATTCTGTCTCCCAATCTATCAAGTCTGAGCCTTCGAACTTACAATGGGACCATCTACTTCTCACGTGATTTGGACCACTTCGATTTATTTGACTTGGGTGGTTAGCATGTATGCTTCTCTTCTTCCAATATTTGCAGCACTCCACCTTGCCTCTGCTTCAGCTTTTCCAAGCGATGGAGAATCACCGACGAACACCATTCTTGCTATCTTTCTTCTACATAATCCTCTCTCTCCAATCCACATTTGCAGTTGAATTTCTCTTCAATGGCTTTGATCCTTCAAATGTTTCACTCTATGGCAATGCCACGATTGAGTCCAGAGTTCTAACTCTTACCAATCTCACATCTTTCTCAATTGGCCGGGCTATGTACCCATCAAGAATCCCCACAAAGGATTCAAGTTTGTCGCCTACGCTTCCTTTCTCCACCTCCTTCATATTCTCCATGTCTCCGTTCAAAGGTTTCCCCATTGGCCATGGCATGGTCTTCTTCTTTGCATCCAGTCCTGGCATCGATCTTCATCGAGTACGCCCGGCTCAATACTTTGGCCTCCTCAATTACACTAACAATGGTGATCCCAACAACCATGTCTTTGGAATTGAGTTTGATGTGTTTAATGATCCGGCGTTCGATGATATAAGCGACAACCATGTTGGTATTGATGTGAATTCTTTAAAGTCAACCATGTCGCAGGAGGCTGGTTACTATACTGATGAGAAATTCTTCAAAAAGCTAAAGTTGAACAGCGGCAAGAACTACCAAGTTTGGATTGACTATGCAAATCATCTCGTTACAGTTACCTTAGCTCCGGTTGGATTAAAAAGGCCTACTAGGCCGCTTCTAAGTTGTCCTCTTGATCTTTCTCGAGTTCTCAAAGAGGAAATGTACGTGGGCTTCACTGCATCAACCGGGAAGCTGCTTCAGAGCAACAGGATCTTGGCTTGGAGCTTTAGTAATTCAAATTTTTCATTAAGCGAGGCATTGGTCACTGCTGGTTTGCCATCGTTTGAACCACCAAAGGTTTATTTTTTCGAATCAAGAGGGTTTATTGTCGGTTCAATTGTTGGAGTTGTCTCTGTTCTTGTTACTTTTTTAATTACTTATTTGGCTGTAATGAAGAGGAAGAGGAGGATGGCGAGGGCGAGAGAGGAGATGGAGGAGTGGGAATTACAGTATTGGCCTCATCGGATAAGTTTTCAGGAAATTGAGGCTGCAACAAAGGGCTTTTCTGAAGAGAATGTGATTGGAATTGGGGGTAATGGGAAGGTCTACAAAGGGGTATTGGCGGGAGGGGAAGAGGTTGCAGTGAAACGCATTTTACATGTAAACAGTGATGGAATCAAAGAGTTCTTGGCTGAAATTACGAGCCTTGGAAGGCTAAAGCACAAGAGTTTGGTGTGTATGAAAGGATGGTGCAAGAAGGAGAAAGGGAGCTTGATTTTGGTGTATGACTACATGGAAAATGGGAGCTTGGATAGGAGGATTTTTGATTGTGAAGATAGCAAAATGTTAAGCTGTGGAGATAGAATAAGAGTCTTAACAGATGTGGCTTTAGGGATCTTCTACTTGCATGAGGGATGGGAAGCCAAAGTTATACACAGGGATATCAAGGCTAGCAATATCCTACTAGACAAAGAAATGAATGGAAGACTGGGGGACTTTGGGCTTGCCCGAGTCTATGGCCCCCGAGAAGTGGCTAGCACAACGAAGGTGGTCGGGACTGTGGGGTATCTAGCACCTGAGGTGATCAAGAGTGGTCGGGTGTCGACGCAAACCGATGTGTTTGGATTTGGCATCTTGGTTTTGGAGGTCATGTGTGGGAGGAGGCCAATTGAGGAAGGGAAGCCACATCTGGTAAGGTGGGTGTGGGAATTGATGGAGCAAGGGAAAATAGTTTATGCACTTGATGAGAGACTAAGGGCTACGGGAGGATTCGATGAGGAACAAGTGGAGATTATCTTACAATTGGGCTTGTTGTGTGCACATCGAGAGGCACATGCTAGGCCCACAATGAGACATGTTTTAACAGTTTTGGAGGGGAAGAAAGAGACAGTTGATGAGCGTGAAAGTGAGGACATGGGCATCCACTTACTTGAGAAGATGAAGCGTAGGGAGACATGGTGTAATAAGAGTGCGGGTAGTGGTTCATACTTGACATTTGAACAATTTAGACTATCTTTCCCATATTCAATTTCCTCTGCTTACTGTACTAATTCAACTATGGAAGCCAGGTGATTGTGTATGAGTAATATGGAGCAGGGTTTTTGCTAGTTTTACTAATTTTGTTGCACTCCCTTCCCAAAATACCTATTCGATATGCTCTAAGACAGCTCTTTTCCCTTCTTTCTTTGATTTTGTTTCTTTTTTTAAGCATTTGTATTTATTTCAAATTTGTTTCCTTATTGTTTGTGGGATTTATGTAATTTCATATTTTCTACCCTATTAGAAGTGCATAAACTAAGATTGAGATTTTTATCTTGGAAAATTCCTTTTTATTCTCTTTGGGAGTCTTGTTAACTTAAATTTGGGAGACTCTTTGGTGTAAAAACAGATATTACCCAACATGTTGCTGTCGACAATGTTTTAAGATAGGAAAAGAAAACAAGATTTGTTTTTTCTAACGTTCACTGGAAGAGCACAAGTTGTTTACAGAGAAGGGATACCCTCCTCCTGATTCACAATCAAACATGCATTCTTATCTTCCATGAGAGTCCACTCCCAACATACAACAGGGGAATCTGACTATTAGCTTTTTTGTAATGCAGCCTAGTATGGCTGTCAGTGGTTGACTCAGATTTTATATGAGCCGCTCAAATTGCTTAGATTTGGATGTTTGGATCTTAAACCCGTTTGGCTAACTCCCGAATCCAATTCACAAAAATTTGACTACTAGTTGATGGAGCTTAAAATTAGACTTGGATGTACTTAATTATATTTGATCTTAAAAATTAGAAAAACAACGTTACAAGCGGAGTAAATAATTGGATTCGGATTGGGTCCAAATCTGGATGTCATTGACCAGGTATGGATGTGGACATGTTAAATGTAATATCAATCTGTTCAGTTTAAAGGTGAATAGAATCATCTCAACTGTGTAATTTAAAGATGAGTTTCTACCTCTTACAAATATTCTAATTTGTCTCATTTTCTCCTGTAGGAAAGGGAAACTATTTGGGATAGGCTTAGAATTTGGAATAAGATTGTACAATATTAATTGATTGAAATGGAAGTAATTCCTCCAGCATATTAATATTGCATGGGCAGAATATCGTTAAGATTTACACATAGTTCCTATAGTTTTATTCCTTTTAAATAATACTAATTTTTTAAAATAAGATTGTATAAAAAAATGGGGATAAATTACACATTTTGTCCCTATAATTATTACTATTTATTTTTGGTCTTCATAGTTTTAAATGAGTCCCAAAATTTTATATTTGTTCCATGCCAATTCGGAATAATTGATAATGTTAGGGCTAGTGATGGTGGGACCAAATTGAAACTAAGATAAAAATGTAAAAAAATAAATAAATAAACTTTCGCTGTTAATTAATTTTTGAATATTACTATTAAAATTTTTTTAAAAACTGAAAATTTTAAGAATAATATAGTAATATCTAACTCTCAACTTCACAGCTTCCTCAATTGGCCAAGCTTCATATTGACCAAGAATCGACGCAGCAGATCCAAGTTCATCGTCGACTTCCTTTCTCTGTCTCTTCATATTCTCCATGACTCAGTTCATAGTAACCCCCTTGGCCAAGGTGTCGTCCGCAACCTGCTTTTCTTCCAACTCTCTTTGTCCTCTTACAAAGTCTCTTTATGTCAACTATGACCCCATTCAATTGAGGAGATAAAAAACAAGATAAGATAAATTATGGTACTTTATCTTCTTTTATCATTTATTCGGTAATTTTGTAAAAGATTGGGATAAAAATTTCATGCAGTTGCCCATAGTTACCTTATCTGGTTAAAGGAAGATAGATTTATCAAGCATATTGGCTAAGATAAAATTTGTCAAGTGTTTATGGTGATTTGTTTTGGGACTCTCGTTCCTTCATTCTCTATTACTTGTTAGACTCAACGTTACTGTCGAGTCCACACCTCGACGGCTGCCGTCTTCTTCTTTCTTCATCCAATCTAGTTAAGACTACTGTCTAGCCTTCTTTTTCTTTCATTCAGTCCAAATGAGACCCTTTCTGCAATCTCACGCCTGATCTTTTGCAATCGACATTCTTGGGCATGACCTCTCGCAGATCAAACTTCTTGGCCATGATGTCATGTAGAACAACCTTCTCGGCCACAATCTTGCATAGATCAAGCTCGTCCAAGTCATTGTTCTCCAGGACATTATTTTCTAGTTGATCTCGCATAGGCATTTGAGGGATCTCGTGCACGCATATGGGGAAATTTCTTGTCAATTTGCAGATTTGGAAAAGCCTCCACTTTCCGATCAATCGTTGTTATTTAGGTCACTGTCCAATCCAGTTGAGATATGGGTTGGGCCGCTACAATCTCAATTACAATTCTAGCCGATAGATAGCTTCGAAGATATTCTGATAATTTAATTTTATATCATGTTTGTTCCCAATAATAAAAGTAAAAATTACCAAATGAGGGATAAAAAGAAAGGAGGATAAAATTACTGTACAAATAAACACTTCTTATATTGTGAAGACAGCCGAATGAGGCCCATTTATATATTGGTAAATTGATTTAAAAGAATTTAAATGTAAAAATTTAATGTGATAATATATATATATATATATATATATATAAGTGTATATAAATTTAAGATTATTTGTAAAAAAGTAAAGAAACTCAAATTCAAAAATAGAGAGGAATAGAAATAAGATAAATCAAAATTAATTAAGAAAGGATTGAGGCCTTTTTTGGCATAGAAAAATTGCTCACTTAACCATTGCATCAACTTGATTACTATCACGAAAGAGAAAGAAGAAAAACAAGGCAAAAAAAAGGTGGTGACCTTTTTCCTTGCACCAGAAAGACTCTTCACCCATCAACAGTTCGTTATTTATTTCATTAATTAAATACACTAATAAAAAAACTATACTCATAAGTTATGCTATCGAGTTTCCATCTTCATTTGCTGCACTCCAAGTAAACCAAAAAGAAAACTGATTGCAATCCTCAACTGTAAATATCTGCAATTGGTAATTTAACAAGATAATGTTTCAAATAAACATGACCACACGATTAATGACTAGTAGACTTGAGGGTCAACCACATTAACGTTAACATCTGCTAATAATATGAAGACTTTTCCACGTAGACAAGGTTCGAACGAGTATATATTGATGAAAAACTCTCTCTTGCAATCCATGGAGATATGATAGAACCAGCTACCATATCAAGACCGAATCTTCCAATTCACAAGTGGGACCACGCGACCTAATTTACGAGGCAATTTTTATTGATTTGAGTTGGGTCGTTAACATCTATATAATGTTATTTGCTTACCTTCTTTCAATATTTCCAGCACTTCACCTTACCTCCACGTCAGCTTTCCAAGCAATGAAGAAAACACCCACGAACCCCACTCTGGCCATCTTTGTTTCCCATAACACTCTCCCTCCAATCCGCATTTGCAGTTGAATTTCTCTTCCATGGCTTAGATTTGGATCTGTGGATCTTAAACCTGTGTTGCTTACTCTGGAATCCGCTTCACAAAAGTTTTATTACTAGTTGATGGAGCTTAAATTTAGAATTGGACGTACTTAATTATGTTTGATCTTAAAAATTAGAAAAAAAAATTACAAGTGAAGTAAATAATTGGATTTGGATTGGTCCGAGTCCAGATGTTATTGATGTGGACATATCAACTTGTTTAGAGTTTTGTCTAAAAGTGAAAAGTAATTGCAGTGATTTAACAAGCTATTCGGTGTTACTGAAGAATTTTGTCTAAAGGTGGAAGGAAAGTCCTCAATTTTCTGTAATTTAAAGTTGGATTTCCTACCTCCCAAGAGAGTGCTTATTCACCCTTTTTCTCGGGTAAGAAGGGGAAACAATTTGGGTTTTGCTAAAATTTGGAATAAAATTGTACAATATTAATTGATTAGATCAAAGTAATTATGATTTATACATAGTTGCTATAGTTTTACTCTTGCCAAATAATTCACACTACAAGAAAATAGACGTTTTTTGACAGACAGTTTCTAGCAAAAAAGGCACTATTTCTATTTGAAATGTATATTTATGACAAAATTTTTGATGGACATAGTACTGTCGAAACAATAATTATCGGAAACAATTTCTAGTGGAAAAGGTCTTTTGTTAGAAAATTTTTGATGGACAAAATTCATCGGTTAAAAAAAAAAATCCTTTTTGTCAAAAATAAAGTTCATTGGGCAACCAAAAAAGTGGTCGGTTGAAAATATTCAATGGCATTTCCAACATAATTTTTGTGTAACAGCCCAGCCTACTAATAAATATTATCCACTTTGAATTGAGGCACTCACAATTTTAAAACGTGTCTATTTGGGATTAAGGCATAAATATCTATGAACCCAGCATCTCTCCCATATTTTATCGACGTGGAATTTGCCTATAACACCCTTATTCTTAGGACTCAGGGTTCTCATTGAAGTTTGCTCCATCACCGTTCAAGGTTGTACATGAAGTGGCTCTGATACCATTTATAATAACCTAACTTATTAATAAATATTGTTCATTTTGGGCCAAGACCTTCATGGTTTTAAGATGCGTTTATTAAAGATTAAGGCGTGTATACCTATAACCCAGTATCTCTTCCATGTTTTGTCGATGTGGGATTTGTCTAAGAGTATTACATTCTGACAAGATTTCTGATGGCTTTTTTGGCAATTTTTGATAGCATTTCCCTTGGTTTCTAACGAAATTTCCAATAGATATCTCCATCGATAATTTTTCAAAATTATTTTTATTTAATATTTAGTATTTATATTTTTTGATTTTCATATTTTTGTATTGTACATTTTAATTTTTGATTTTTTATATTTTATATTATTTTATTCTTACATTCCAAATTTTATTTTTTTTCCAAATCTTTTATTATCTCCCAAATAAACAATAAATATAGGTCTCAAAATATATATGACCCCTCGTTTTCTCATCAATAGCATGGGTCTAACTTTGTCTCAGAATAGGTCGCATTACTATCTAGAGTATCTAAACCTCCAACTGAGATTTAGAAAGACTGAATCTCCTCAAGACTACGCTAGTATTTGTTCTACTTT